GGCCTTTAATGTTATTTCCTCGTTTCGAACCCAGGCAACTGTTTGACGATCGTGGAACGTACCCGTATCTCGCCACCTTGCCGATGGTTTCCACAGTCAGCCCACGGATATTATAATCCTATCTACAGGGCAGGATTTAATGGTACTAAAAAATTTCGCGACGCCTCGTTAGATGCGTCCTGTCGCTTCATAACCTAGATAACGAGTAGGAAGAATGCAAACGGGTGCTAGCCACAGCCCAAGCAGTGGCCATTCGACAAGCGAACCTGACACTCTGTTGTCAAGAGACGCTAACACAAGCAATCTGTCTGCCCTGGCCGACTCCAGGCAGTGATCATACGCCGTCCCGACACCCTGGGAGCAGTCACGCGCATTTACAGCGCTTACAATCTGACCGGAACCCCTCTCCTTCTCCCCCCTCCCACCCCAACTCCACCGTCTTCAACACGCTGACTCCGTCATGCGGGCGGCGTGGGAACATGAAGTCGGATTAACCCTGTCCCTGAGACGCATTTATATCCTGTCAACAATTAGAATGATAATTACCCATGTAAGTGTATCAGCTGATGACGAGTTACTGAAAATATATTTTCGCCACCTGGCTTTTCAATTGTAATATAGAAATTTTCGCAGAACTGAGATTTGAGTTCCTGCAGAAAATCAATACAGAATCAACAAGGTCATGGGTTTGGTTAAAGCCGGTTTATCGATAAAATTAGTAAGTCAAACACAGTATGGGAAGAACAGGGGTAAAAAGCGTTAACGAACACAAAGAAAGGGGAAGTGAAAAACATGGAGCTAGAGGCTACCATGGCAAGGTTAGACTAATCACGTGTTCCAACTGTTTACAAAGATCTGGTTTCACCCGCTGTGTATAGGCTGCCTCCAGGTAACGCAATGTCCGAGTTGTTTGTGTCCGAACAAGTACTCGAAGGAAGTTTGGGAGTGGACGGAGGGACCACTGCCAATAGAAGCGAAAGGACGAGTCCCAGGAAGCAGTCTTGAAGAAGAAGAAGAAGACACGATCGCCGGGACAAGAGCTTTATTAGCCTGACGTTTCGGATTCCTGCTCGAATCCATCATCAGAGACATAAGCAGATAAGGGTTATGTCTCTGATGATGGATTCGAGCAGGAATCCGAAACGTCAGGCTAATAAAGCTCTTGTCCCGGCGATCGTGTCTTCTTCTTCAGGAGGGACCACTATCAAGCAGGAGTTTTCTAATGGAGGAACGCGGAATTTTATTTATTATTTAGGAGCCATTTGGGCAGGTGCTCAATAGACCTGCCTGTCAACTGCCTTTGCGTTTGCCCTATGTACTTCCATCCTCAAATGAATGTGAATTCATGAACACTATTTGAAGTAGCGTGCATTGGCAAAACATCCTTCGCCCGTGGCATTGGAAGAGGCTTAGTAGAACTGCATAATATGAGTCTGGCTGCATTTTATGCCCTTTCAATGATGGAAAGCAGTCGTCGTTTGATAGTATTTAAAATATTGTCGCCGATAAATGGCAAGGATATAAAAACCGGCTTTTTGGATCCGAATGTTCTGTCAACTTTGGTCGTATAGAGTTGCTGCACTTGTGGAAGACACGTGCGGGAAATCTACGCCTAAGCACAGCTTCTTTGGGGTATGCAAGTTCTGCATTCAGTGTTTCATTTGAGCGAATGTTCCTGACCTTTTGCCAAAGAGTGTAAACCAAGTTCCGTTGCCATTGTATGGGTACAAAACTCCAAAAATGCAAGTAATGCCCCTTCCAAGTATTATTTTGGAAAACGGGACGTCTTATGGGACCATCTTCCTGTCTAAATGCAAGAACTTCCAGGAAGGATAATTGATTGTCTTGTTCCTTCCTCACTGTCAATTTGATCCTTATTTTATAAAGCAACAGGACGCAGCGGACGAGCCATAGCGAAATTTCTCGGTACCATTACATCCTGCTCTGTTTGCCGACCGGGGACAAAATGCTTCAAATCCCATCTACCACGCTTTAGATGTGCAAATATCCCCATCCATTTTACGAATTCTCCTTTGACGAGGAACGTTTCGAATCATCTTAAACTCTCATTGGCAGAACGGTCCTGTTCCACACCTGTTTTTCTTACATGAACAACATCTTTTTCACTTGAAAGCTCACCAATTACATTCATTTTATACATTTTCTGTCAAATTTTCCCAAGTAGGGACTTCGTTTCACTGTTGGCTCCTTTTAATATCTCATTGTCCCCTCGCAGCTTTGACCGCGTCAATTAGCGGGCGTCTAATCAACCAGTCACCATTATCATAAACATAAATTGGCTACTACAGATGCCCACATATTCGTTTCCAGATATATTCGCAAATATAGGCAGAATGGTATTGCCGACAAAGACAAGGGAGACTGGAACTGCCTTTTTTGGCCTATAGCCGTCGTCAGCCAGCCATAGCCAAACCCGAAGTGTGGAACACCCGAGCCTCCAACTCGCGACCTGTTGGTTTAGAAGTCAACGCATCTACTCACCGGGCCACGAGCCCGTTGCCTTGTCGGTTTTCGATCGGGAATAAACAATGTTAGGGGGCGCTCACCGATCGTTCATACGGAACTCACTCGTTCCGTTGTGCCTTATGGACTCTAAGGCACAAAGGAACGAGTGAGTTCCGTATGAACGATCGGTGAGCGCCCCCTAACATATTCGCAAATGTTCTTCATTTAGCTGACGGTATCCACACAGATTCTCAATAAATTCATTTGTATCCTCATAACGTCAGTTCACCCCTATGACCTTGTTGGGTTTTGTGCTATAGTCCCAATTTGTCCGGTCAAGCCCTAGTACTTTGAGGCTATGTAGGGAGTCCGGCCCATCATAAAATCTGTATCACCCAACCAACTCCGTTTTAATTCACTCTAAGGCCAGCAACGACGGGTGCCGTACGCGCGCTTCGTGTCCGACTGCCAAACTACTCCGACAAAATATTCTTCATTCTGTCTGTGCAGAATGCCATTCTGCTTTTACTGATGTCCATCTTCTCCCGCTACTCGGGACTGGCCTAATCGCAGCAGAAACTGGGGTCTAACTGTGACTTTAGCTACAGAGGCAAACGTCCAGGAATGCACAAAGACAGTGGGACCGCACCTGGCCGAGTCAGTTATCAGGATCCTTCAAACTCGCCTGCCCTGAGACGGCCAAATCATGACGATACCGAATCCATTCAAATGGAAGGAAGCTAACTGCGACAATGCGGTCCAGGAAGGACGATGTCAACATAACACTTCTTACTATGCACTGCCAACTCGCACAGGATGTTGATTGAGTACACTCAGCCGGGCCCCAATAATGAGGCAAAGGGAACGATGGCGGACAAGATTTGTCAGCCAGCTCTGACGATGCGAGAGTTTGACCGTCGCTGTCGACAATTTCCACCGAGCGCTCCACTGAAAGGTGAAGTAGACACGATGACTTGCGCGTGAATTAGTTTAGAGTGATAGTAGACTTGCGCAGCAGCTACCACACACTCTCACCCACTCCGCACCTGGACCCGGTATCAAGACAGGGCCAAAAAGACTGGACGCGGTGGGGGGGGGGAGCAGGTGGATGGCACAATCCGGCTCGCACCTTGGCATTCCATTCCACACCCCCTGGTCCACACAGCAAATGACCAGGTTTTTGACCAACAACAACACCCCAAAAGGGGTCAGCCATGCCCACCACCTCTATACCCAGCGGGAGCGCAAACGCATCTACCGGCAGGGAACCAGGTGTCAGGGGACTGCCGGCGCATACCAGGCTGCAATGACCATGGTTTGCTGGTACTGGCGTAGCACATGCTTGCAGAGTTTTTGACCAACTGACGATGCACACCTGCCAAGGGCAGCAGACAGTCTGTACACAATCACCCTCCTGACCAGTTAAAAACTTAAATCAGGCGGTCATCATGGCGAAACGGTTCGACCGGCGTCGCCACTCGTGTATATACAAAAGGCGATAGACTGTCTAAAACAGTGTGCAATTACGCGCAATTGTCTTGCCCGATAATTGACTTTGACGCGGTCTTCGGTGTTTTTATCATTGTTCAATCAATGTTCAAGACTTCGCGACAAATTTGACCTGAATTTGCCATATTCGATTGTGTGATAATACAGCGCGTCTAGTGCCACACCGGTTCAGCAGAAAAAATACAGTCCTGCGTTTTTAAGGAAGGAAAATGCTCGTTTAATTCTATAAACGGACCTTTTTATCAGAAAATTAAAACGAACGAAGTATGTTTGTTAGGCTAAAACACTCCGCAGCTGAATGGGTGTTTGCTTACTTCTAATGAGGAATTATGAATAGTCTAACGTATTAAGCAAGGGCTATTGTTCAGTCAGCAATAGTACACTCGTTAACACCGTTTCAGGCATTATTTGATGCGCATTTGGTGATTCGTAGCCAGTTCCGAAATTCAGCATTTGTGATGGTAACCGGATTAATGAACCGGTTTAGTACATCCCAAAATCCAGCGCCTCTTTTGTTACGAATAGTTTTCCGACCTCTGTCTGTAACGCCAAAATTGCTCACGAAGCACGTGCGAGGCAATAGAGAAGAGTGGCATGGGAATTCTAATAATGATAATAGTAATAACAATATTTTATCCATAAGCGCCCAAAGGGAACTATCCACACAAAGTTAAAACTGAGTCAATTGTTAAAATACACACAATGCAGACAGCGATGCTCTTTGAGAGCTTTCAGATGTGCGGTAGAATTTAAAAACTATCATTTAAAGTAGACAAAGGGTCTCACATCCGCTGTCAATTTGTTCTTTAACATATGATACTAATGGTAATATTATACACAAATTGATAATAATTTTTTTCAGCAAAAGTGGCGATTTCAGAAGGAAACAGTGGGGAAACCCCTGAAATCGAGGTTGAGAAGATAGTTCAGGAGACACATACTTTCGAAAAATTTTTAAAAGAAAAAGCCCCTGCGCGAAGGGACATTAACGGTGAGGTGAGGTTCTTCCTGAGAATAATGCGATACTACAAAGGCAGATCATCGAGTGAGAACGAGACGTCATTATAGTGCGCCTGGGTGCTCAGGGTGAGACCGACAATGTGGAGAGGCCTCAACAGCCCGGTGGCCAGAAGGAATCCTGGTGAGGGTTGGCGGCGAGCGAACCGGGAGCGGTTTAGGACGTGCGCGTCAGTGTGATTTCGATTATCTGTCTGAAAGGTGGTTCAGGGAGAACGTCGTGCTTTGTGAAGGGCGCGATGCACAGACTAATTAAATCGAAAATTTAGATGTGATTGTGACAAGCGAAACCACATTTGGAGAGGGGAATGCGAGCTGATAAGGTAGTTTGACAGCGGCGTCCTAAATTCCCAATGACCCCTTTTCAAAGCTGCTCAGTAAGGAATGGGAAAATGAAAAACTAATCGGTCAGAGGTGGTTATGTAGCCCCACCTAAAGTAAACAAAACCCAGCCAAATGTAATACGGGACCGGTGGTAATAGGGGTTTTTACAAGTGTGGCCGGGGAAAGCACAGTCGACGAGGTCAAGTAGTCGTATGCGAAAGGAAAGCTATTGGGATTACGCGGTTGTATTTTGAGTGGTTGAGGAATAGTTACCCTAACCCTAACCTCAGCCCCAACAGTACTGTGTCCATCAGGTGGGGCTACCAAACTAAATCAATGTTGAAATAAGGGCGCAGTCTTCTCTTAAGAGCTGATAGGCTATTTGGGGATCTAATATCGACCAGCTTGATATTCCAAAAAGTCATGCTGGGAAGCTGGAGGAGGCACTCGATTCAGCGTCAGGTTATGCGAGGCTACATATGGTGTATTAAATGACGCCGCGGTACCGGTTGATCATTACGTATTTCATTTTCACCGATAGAAGCAGGCCGTAGTTCCGGAGGTCTTTAATTTCTTGTACTATTACATGGTGGACAGCCACCAATCTAGCCTGGCCTCCTTCAGAAGTTTATTCTTCCGTTCTGTTAAAGCCCAGAAAGTAGGAGATAGCCCTGACTTATCAATCACGTCACAACACAGACATGCTGAATTGTTGTACATCATGAGGGACTCGTTCCTGGTCGTAGAATTCGACTGCCGCTGGCCCAGAAACATGCTTATTTGTGTCGATGAGACAATCACTGATATGAAAAAATGAAGCTTACCGGAACCTTTCTATTCACGTGAACTTTGGGTAGTTTGCCCTCCCTGATCGAACCCCTACAATGGGTCACGCAGGAGTTCAACTGGGCCAGACCAGGGTGCGGCACGCGCTCAGTGGGCCGCGCACTCATGACGGGGATGTGGTTGCACGCCTAGACGCGGGATTACGCCGCGTCAACCATTTGTGCCCGATCCCGCATCCTGTTTCCTTGACCCTGGTAGAGGGACGCTCAATGATTGCGCTACGGAACTCACTTTTCCCGTTGTGCCTCCGGGTTCTCTCTTCCGAGCCCCGCCAGCCGCCGCACAGTGACGCGCAATAGAGGCAGAATTGCATTACCGACGAAGACAAGGGAGACTAGAGCGGCCATTTCGGGCTTATTGGCCCTCGTCAGCCAGCCATACCCGGCCCCGGGGTGTGGAACGCCTGGAGCTGGATCCTGTGATCTCTTGGTTAGAGGCCCAAAATCCCTAACCACACAGCCACGGTTGCGATCGGGCAAATGCAAAGGTACAGGGACGCTCACTAGGGTCGGCTGGCGGAGGCTGATAAGCAAGAAAGGACCATTTGACTCTCCCTTGTCTTTGTCGGCAATCCTAGTTCTAGGCAGAATGCTATTACCGACAAAGACAAGGAACACTTAAATGGCCATTTCTGGCTTATTAGCCGTCGTCAGCCAGTCATACCCAACCTCGAAGTGTGGAACACCCAGAGGCTCGGACTCGCGACCTGTTAGTTAGAAGTCCACGCCTTTAACAGCTGGGCCACGAGCCCGTTGCCTTGTCAGTTTAGATCGGGAATATACAATGGTAGGGGACGCTCACCGATCGATCCTAGTTCTTGACTGTCTTTACACCGGGCTCAGGTGAATGCAACGCAAGCCTACTATAACTGTGAACTTATTAGCCCACAAGTCACCGTCTCTGCTACCACCGCGCTGTGGGCCACGCGGTGGACATCTTTGGAAACAACGGTTGAGCCCTCGTACTTTCCCTGATATGTCCTACGTGGATCTAACCCTAACAGCATATTTGTTCACCACTTGGCTTCCGATGCATTGTCCTTTTATGCACAAGTGCATGGTCCCTCAACGTCTTGAGCGCCTGTGGATTAAAACTGGCGTCTAGCCCATCAGCAAAATAAAACACATTACACTTCACCTTGGGGGGAGATTGCTGCAATGCTCTTATATGCACCACCCCCTCCACTATGCTGAGCGCCAGACAACAAGTCCACAAATGCGTCGTACAACGGTTTCGATGTGGACACTTCAAGAAATGAGATATTCCGCACATTCCGGCAGTTTTACTTCCAAACTGATAGTGAGTTTAACTGGCTGTAAGGCCTGCATGCCGTTGTCTGCACATCCAGAGAACAACCGATCCCTGGCTAAGAGGTAGGGCGGCCAGCTCAAGGACCAGAGGTCCCAAGGCCGAATTCTAGGTGTTCCAAGCCTGTGGTTGGGTACGGCTGGCTGATGACGGCTAACGTGTCGGAAACGGCTGTTCCGGAACCCCTTGTCTTTGTCGGTGCTCTTCTCGACAGACCCACCTGCCGCTTTTAGTAAAATGGAGGTTTTACAGACAAGATAAAGCGTCTTCAACCGGCCCAACCGCGAATCGCGACGCAAACTTCACATCGAAATCTCACTGAGCGGCGTCAGCTAAGAGAACGGCCACGAGCTCCGGCGGCTTCTCTTAAACCCTGTCCCTCGTGCGATGCCTTATCTTTAAGTCCGACTTCTAACAGCCAATAGCGTGCGCGTGCCCCACTCGTCGCAGTTTTAACTATAAATCCGTTACTTGGCCTTCACACGTGACTTCCGACAAGACTGAACCTCGGCTGGCGCTTCCTTCAGAACCGATAAATTATGACTATATTCATTATCTTTTGTTTTGTTGAACACAAACACCTCCCGACGGCCCATTTCCACTCTCCTGTGCCCCTAACGACAATTTATCCAGACAAATCCAGGGTACGGTGGGTAGTCAAAAGCCATAAAATGAGCGCCGAACCACATGATTTACTGGTAGCGCAGCCGCATGAGTTCACTTTACAGCAACAGAAAAGTCCGGTTTCTGGTCTGTAAGCCCTCTTTAGGGGGCCAAGGTTAAGCAGAGAAATTAAGCAACTCTGGATAAATAAGCTGCATCAAGTGAAACAAAAATCAGGGGCATAAAAATAAGTAAGACGATGAGGTGACGGTGGATCAAAATAGAGGGGAAATATGCGCAAAAACAGAAGTGATGACTGAAATTAGCGTTCTTTTAAAAAAGATGAAGCCGGTGTAACAGAACTACCAGTACACAGACACAGGCCCACACTAGCATCAGAACAAGCCAGAAGGTGTGTGCAAAGGGTGATGCAAAGGGGTTCTGACTTCCAGCCCGCACTGGTCGATGCACGGTTATGAGTGGGGCGTTCTCCGAGGCCACGTCCTCTGCACTGGAAGGGCCCGCCACCGTCTCCTCGTCTTCCTCCTTCCCGGCAGCCTCCTTGAACTGCGTGTGCCTCAGACGACGTCCCAGTTCGCGACGAGCATAGTAGACCAGGACGGTGGGAAAGACGTATTGAATGCCGCTGCCGCCAAAGGCCCCCGTCACCCCCACCAGAAACTCAATGTCATTGGTTGCAAAAGCGATTGCAACCGGGGGCAGGAGGGTCACCAGCGGTACCCCAACGCGAATGGCCAGCCTACGGGCATCCATACGGCGAGGACTGTCTGACAGCGCCTGGTAGGGATCCTGAGGTAATAGCAGGCCGATCAGACCAATGAGATTATTTGAAAGGGTAGTGCCAACGATGGGGAAGGTGGAGGAGAGAGCAAAGACCGGGAACAGGGAGAGGAAGTAGTCCACAGCCAGAATAAATGGACTAACGTGTGCGTCGGGATCACTGGTGGGCAAGAAGTTGAGAGTGTAGAGGTCCTGAATGTCGTCAAAGGCAGCCACTGCAGTACTAACGAGTAGCAGGTAGAGTACCAAGACGACTATGTAGGCTGGAAGCAAGAGAGTTGAGTAGAGGTGGTACTTGTCACGCACAGGAGTAATCAGGCCGGGCAGAGAATGATGACACATGAAGGAGTACACTGACACTCCAAAGAGGGAAGCCACGTTGTGAAAATCAACCACCGGTGGGTGTGGAACCGGAATGGGTGTCGTCGTGTAGAGGGGAGGCGTTACCGAGTGGGCGGTGAGTTGTTGCTTTCGGGGGAAATGCGAGATGCGTACACATGCGAGGGCGATCATGAGGATGATGGCCGCCCAACGCATAATGGAGGTGAATATCTGCAGCCACCTCGTTCGAGTAACGTTGAAGAAGAAGAATGGGCCCAAAAGAAGAGCGAATCCAGCCTGAAAAAGGGGTGAAATGGACGTAATTGTGGTAAGGCGAGGCCTTGGGAAAAATGGCTCTTTGATTTTGAAAACCATAAAAATGACTTCTGGGTACAAAGGGGTCTACCAGAGGCCTTCATCTGTAAACGCTTTTGTCTCACAACATCGCGCTAAAAGCTCGAACATGCATGCATTTGATCTAGTGAACATATGGTGGGACCCAACTAGCTCGTATATTCCCCAGCCTCCTAAGTGCAGTTATAAAGTAGGATTTCTGCTTCCATAGAATGCAAATGGTAGCTGCAAGCGGAAGACGCCTTTGCCATATTCACGACGAAAATCCTAGTCATGTGGTTCACTGGCGTCCTATGGCTGCCCCCCACAAACGGACCACGTGGTAAATGCGCTGGACCAACACGGCAGCCATATCAGATTCTGGCAGGCGTTTTTGGATTGTGCACCATAATAAATACCGACATTTCGGGGTGCGGTGGGGTTGCCGGCGTACGTCAGGCACACTGGGACCCCTACCGTCCCCTCACTGTTGTTGGTCAAAAACTTGGTTACCCGCCGTATGAACCAGGGGTGTGGAGTGGAAGGCTATGGTTCGGGCCCGGCCGTGCCATCCACCTGCGCCCCCCCCCCCCCCGCCTCCGGTCTTCTTGACTCTGTCTTGACACAGGGTCCAGGTGAGAAGGAAGATAGAGTGTGGCAGATGCTTTGCAAGTCTACTGTCACTATAAACTAACTCACGCACAAGGCACCGTCCCTGCTCTCACCTTGATGTGGGGCACACGGTAGACATCGTCGATAACGACGGTCGAACTGTCATGGCCGCGACGGCTGACCATATCATCGGGTGACTGAGAGTTCCCCGCTGCTGGTTCAGCGTTCAAGAAAATCTGACGAAATGCAAAGTTGGACTGGATGACTGAAGTATTACTTCAAAACCACACGGGGCACACCGAGGTCGTGATAGTCAAGTGACAAGGATCGGCACTGTCCAAAAGTTCATCGCCCAAAAGCGTTGCATCGACTGTGTCTAGGCTTCGCTATCCGAAGAAATCATTGCGATCGCGTCTGCAAAAACCACTGTTGTGAGTCGGTGGTACGCAAAAGCGGACAAGCGCGTCTTCCTGCCTGGACAAACCTGGCCGTGGCTACCATTGACAGCTAGAATAGTAACTGGCCAAAATGTGCGCGGGGATTGGCTGCTGACAGGGCTCAAACATCCATATCTAATGTCGGACCGTGCCTGAAATGGTCTGTTCCGAAGGATTTACTCCAGGTTCGAGCATTAATTTCCTGGGAAATTAAACAAGGAAAGAGCATGCTGTTGTACGACCCTCTGACAGACCCGCGAACTAGCGGCATATCTTCGGTTAAATCAGTCATGGTGAACATCGTCAGGAGAAATGGGAGAAAATACATGTCCGCCATTTGGGGCTGCAAACGATCGGTCCTGGTTTTAACTGACAAGAAAAAAGGGAAAGGGATTTGAAAATGAACATACGTCTAGACAAGATACCTGCCTAATCGAAATTAGGAGAAACAACTGATAGAAACTTCAGAGGTCGGGCTTCTGGCACCGAGGGTGGGTATTTTCCTATCGGACATGCTTGACTGGCAAACTTGTAAATCAAGCCGCATTCATCGCTGGGTCTCGAGCACATAAGTGACAAGCATGGGGATAGAACGGAAAAGGAGAATCCAGATGCTCCGTTTTGCTCTCTTCTATATTGTTATTGTATGTACAAAAGATCTCCCAGTTTACGTAGGTCCTACTTACGTCCGCCACAGGAAACTTTTTCATTTAAAAAGACACTGGAAGTGTAGAAGGAAACACGATCGGCGGAACAAGATCTTCATTTGCCTAGCGTTTCGGATTCCTGCTCGAATCCATCATCATGAAAAAAGCGGTTGCAGTAGTTATAGGATGCAGTAGCATGGCGACAGCATACCTATGGGAATTCACGGCTCGTCCCCCCCCCCCACTCATCATCAGGGATTGTTGCACTTGGTGTGATGATCGTTCAATGATCGACATTCAAGTCATTGGTCGTTAGAATTCTATCACGTGTGTTAGATGTTGGTGTGCTGATTGTTCGACCATTTGGCCCACCGACCCTGGCGCTGGGAAGTGTTTGCCTGTGCGCTCCCCACGTGGCTGATTACTCCGCCTAGGCTGAGTCTCAGCACTAAATATGGAAGGCCAAAAGCCTGCGGCCTACGGTAAAATTACTCACCTCCAAAGGCCCCAAGGTAAATTGTACCGGAGGATAAAACCGACGTTCACATAAATTTGACACATACACACACAAACAGGAACCATCTGTCTCTCTGAGACAACTCTAGATCGAGTTCAGAAGGTAAAACGGAACATCTGTACCAATTTTTTTCAACCAGGCAAATCGGTAAATCCCAATCCAGTGTGACTAGTTGCTTTTGACTACAGGTGAGTGAACATAAATCCGTTTCTTAACGGATAAAGCATTCAATCTTTTGACCAATTGAGTTAGGTCTCAGATCTCGAGTCTGCTTGGCTCCTAGGTTGGCGTATAAGGCAAAAACGGCAATTCCGGCGTCCAATGCCTTAGTTATTGCAACTTCGCAGAAAAAAGATATTTGCAACGGCGTCTGTCTTTACCCACCACGCAGGGCGGAACACGAGCTCCAAATATCGCGGTGTGGCTGCAAGGTTAAACTTTCCGAATGCGAGTGGACCGAAATGTTCGACTGACTAAACTGACCTTTGGCACGAAAGCAGGACATGACTGGCTGATGCCAAAAAGAACATGAACACCACCACCACCACCACCATCGGTGATGCTCAGCATCGACAGAACGCGTTTTATGATTCGCGGAGTCAAATAACAGAAAAAGAATGAAACAAAAGCGCGCAGGAATTAAGGCGAATTAGAAAAATGGCCTTCTAAGCAAATATTTCAAGGCTCAAGTGCGAAAAGGGCTGACGGCCCAATAAGGACGCATGGAAGGAAGGAAAATTCAGTAACGCGGTGGGAAGTTTTCCCTGTCGCCTTGGAAACAAACAACCTCTCATCGACGAGGGTGTGTGTGTGTGGCGATATCAGTGTTAGTGGGGGGGGGAGTGCTTGCGAATTTCTGGCCAGGAGTCATCCTTCTGCGGATGTAATGCGGTTGGCGGCCTAAGCGTTACCGTCCTGCCAAGCCCAGGCGCGTCAGCAGACAGCGGGATGCAAACAGGGGTCGATAGTTACATTAAAATCCTCGCCCATAATTACACTGCAGATAATGGCCGTCCTCACTCCCCCTACCTGAGTTGGTGCCCATCCCGTCCGCATACGGACTAACTGGACGTCGCAGGTCCTTCGGTTGATATACGCCGGTAGAGCCTGACAGACCGCCTAAATAGTCTCAATGGGATTAATTGAAGCAGTGATTATATCTCAAGTTGTCAGTTTCCCTCTAGCCCTGCTCTCCTCTGCGTCAGACAAGGAGTTAGGCACCCACAAAAGAAAGCATGCGCTAAGTTGCACCACAATATTCTGACACAAACATCACGTCCCAAGTAACGCTCACATCAATGTCAAAGAGATGGACGGTTACTCGGAATTCACCGCCATCAGCATGTCTCTTGGCGCAAAAATAAGGAGTTTGTCTGGTCAAGTAATGACATAGCTCGTCAGATCATGCGATACAAGGCCCGGAAGGTCTGAGTAGGAAGTGAAAATCGGGCAGTGACAAGGAACAAGGCGGGTCCCCTACGGACACCAACTTCCCGACCGAATACACTTTCAATGCTGAAGCTTGTTGTTTACGTCTGAGAGGAGGATGCATGCGTGTATCGTGGGCCTTGGCCAGAAGAACACCGACCCATGGTCTGGCGATGGGAGTGCCAAACTTTATTTCAGTGCGGGCGACGTATTTGCGTTCAGATTGCGAATGGGCTGTAGCCAGTGGCTGACAGTAGCCAACAAGTCAGGATGGGTCGTACCAAACTCTTCTGGGGGTCGGGCACAAGAATATTGACCCCCACCCCGTATTACGGGTGACCTTGCCCTAGATTCCAAGGGGTTAAGCTTAGTGTAAGGGTTATGGTAGTTGATGTCAGAATTGTGATTAAAGCTAGGACAATGGAACAATTATCATCTGGAATTAGGCGCGAAACCACCTGAAGTACGAGGGGCCAAAGCCACCCGTGTCCAATCCCTCTGAACACTTGCGAATAAGGTTTTCGGCGATTAGTGACTGCTTCTCACTGTCCAGGTGTTACCTAACATGCGGGAAGAAAATACTAGGTCAAGAAACAGTCACGCGAATTGGGGGAACCAATCATCATGCGAATATCTCAGTTTGCAATCTTGTTTAGAGACCAGAGTGCGTCCTAAAATTTGGCCCTTTTAGGGCTAGTTGCAGCAAAAACCAGACGACAGATATCTGCTCATCAGTGGCTTGAGCAAGGATTGAGAAATTATGGAAAAACTCGGTCACGCAGCCTGGCGGACGCAGAAACGGGGACTTGTGCATGAATTATTAGTGGCTAGATCGCAGTTGGCAGCCAGGACCCGTATTACAGGTGGCGGGGGGGGGGTTGTTTACTGCGGCTATTTTGTGGGGCTCCATAATCACATCTGACCCATTTGGCTTCCGTTTTACGTTTGAGGTTAGGATTAGGGTACCGGTTAATGGTTTCCGATTTTTGGGTTAGGGTTATGCCCTCGGGCTCAGGTTTTCGGGTTACGGTTAGGGTTTCAGCGTACGATTAGGTTTCAGTATTACGGTTCGGTTTTCCAGTTACGGCTATGTCTAATGGTAACAGACTTGCATGACGCCTGCCGCACTCTCCCCTACCTCACCCATCCGGGCAACGTATGAACGCAGATCTTCACACAAAGAAGAAAGAAGCGGCTTAGATCCCAGCTGAGTGGGAGCGTCGTAGAGGTCACACTAAAAGAGCCATTGCAGTCTGACTATCCGTCCTGAGAGGGGGGGATCGAGTTATCCCGCCGGATGGCAGCCTCCCAAGCCACGGCTTTTAGCGCAACGAGATAGATTCAAGCGCATCTGGCTGCTTATTGAGAAATATGTGCTGAGACTCGACGTCACTCGCTTTCCCCTTCCCCCAGGCACCAGTCCGAGCTGGCTGGCCAACTGGTGCGGCGCGGGGCTGCACCTAGGCGTGCGACCACATCCCACGCGTGGCAGCTGTTGTGGGCACACAGACCGATTAACGCGTGCCGTGCCCCCACGTAACTCCGTGTTGGTCCAGGGCATCTCCCCGCATAACCCCATCTGGAGACAGACTGCATGTCCAACACGAGGAACTACTGAAGTAGTTTCTGTTCCGTCATCCGCCGAGGCCAGGAAGCAAACAAGAAAACAAAGATCTCAATGTTCGAGAGGGCTTATAAGGGTGTTTTGCGGTGAACTGACTTTCCATAGGAAAGAAATTGCCATCCGACTGGCGTGTTCTCAATTTCACCCATCTTAAAGAAAGTCCATTAATATTACCTAAACCAATAAACAAATAGCGTGACTGTGAGAATGTGTCAGATGGAATACGAAATTTATATCAGACGACATGCAAATCTAACGGTTTGAAAACCTTAAGAAAATTCATAAAAGCAGGCGGTATCAAAAACGCTGGTATATGTTTGACTTCATTACCACACAGAGCAGTGATAGAAGGGAGTAGACTTTCGACTGTTCCTCCTCATAGCCAAGACTGGGCTGGGCATCAAAAGCGTTTTTCCAAGGGATTGATTAGTTTTTACTTGAGGTTCCAGAATAGAGTTCTTGCCGACGGTTGCAGAACGACAAAACAGGAGTTAAAAGACTTACGGAAACTTGAACGGCTATTGTCGACTTATCGACCGCCAACAGGGTCATAACCAGACCGCAGGCTGCGAAGAACACAGACTGGATGCGTGAGTTAGATGCCAGATGTTCTACCACTGCACCGCCGGCTTCGAATTGTGCATATAAGGTCACGTGGTTGCATGAAAGAATGGCGGCACTTTAGATGTCAGCTGGACAATTTCAAGAACAAACTACCTACGATTGAGCCCCAGTGTGCGACGAGACGAGCCTGCTCCGTAATTTCATCGGTAAACGCCCCTCCCACGATAGTGAACATTCCTAAACAGGACAAGAGGTCCAAAGGTCCAATGCCGGAGCGTCGGACCAAACGATTAGTAACTAAAGAATCCGGGTCTAGGTTCCAGGTTATCCAGACCTTGGTCTGATAGCGGCAAATAAGCCAGAAATGGCCACCCCAGACTCCCGTGTCTTTGTCAATACTTTTTCTTGTGTCATTGCTGATCGATGTGTGACCGCCTACGAATGCCTTATATAAACCCCCAAAGCGCAACGCAACGCTAATGTTCTGTAACTTGAATAGTAGGCTTCTCTTCGCAAAACCTGTGCTGGACGTCTAAGTGTTATCCTGTGCACACATGCCCCTTATATTCACACAAATTACCTTCATTCACTCAACCACCGCTTAGGGTGCCAGAGGGATTGGTGGAACTGTCACTGGTCATCATGCCATAAATGATCTCAACTTTCCAAAGTTTTAAAGTACTGTTTACGCAGTGTTTCGCGTCGTCTTTGAAGGAGTGTTATGCTGCACAACCAAAAATTAATTAATTGGATTTCGGGTCACACCATTACCCTACTACTCCGGTACCTTAAGGCCTTCTCAGAGAACTCTTGCCTTTCAGGGGGTAGTTAGCATGTTAGTTCGGCGGTTACAGGCAGCAAAGGCCGTGGAGACCTGTGATGCGTCTGCCCAACTCTCTGTCATTCTTCTCATTGGCAGGTCGTTCCGAACAACTGGACATGGGTGTAGAGGCAGTGGCCATGGGCCTTGAGTTTGCGTGCGTTGCACATACACCGGTCACCATGTCTACATGAACTAGCCCCCTAAAGTGAGGATCCGAATCTCGAGAGGGTAAGGGCTGACTAAAAACCGCATTATGAAGGAGCCCTTGTGACCTGAACCCAAGTCCAGCTAATCAGAAGCCTTCGGAATCAGGACAGCATCTGATGTTATCTCTGATGGTAGAGTCGAGTGTGAGTGTGAAATGTCAAACGAATAAAGCCCTTGTCCCAGTGATGGCGTCGTTTCTTTTTATTGTGCTTTGGGAGGAGGGCTAATAAGCGATGCCTTTGAAGGCCCCGCGTTTATACATGTCAGCTGGCAGTGGAATAAGTGTACATAAAACTAAAACGAACCAAAGCGCCTTAAAAAACGTACAAGATAGACTCGGTAGACGTTCATGCGGGAAAATCTGCCATCCGGCCAACAAGGGGCGTACTCGTTGAGGACGGAGCTGCCATTCTGGACCGACTTACTGAGGAAAAGAAGGATGAGAGCAGACATCGTAAGCGAAGGATGCTTATGGGCAAGAAACAGGACGAATACGTAGCGTCAAGAAACCATGATTGGCAACTTAAGCGCAAAGTTTTTTTGTCAGAAAAAAACTTATGGGAGACAGGAGCGCGCATGCACGCAGAACGCAAGGGCTTCCGGTGAGAGTATCTATAAAAAGCTCTTTCGCAGACGGTATTTGTCCGCCGTATCCCACCCTCTTCTGAGTGCAAAATGGCCTTCGGAATCAATTAGGTTATAGGGAGGAAAATTAGTATTGAATTAGTGTGCCCTCTCTCTTCCCATTGTATTCTGAATCGAGTTGACTGCAAATGAGGCCGGCAGCAGGTGCCGACCAGACACTCTGCCCCTTGCTTACGTGCGCAATGCCCTTGGTGTTTTTTCCCGTGTTAGGACGAGCCACACTGCAGTCGGACACATTTCCGATGGAGGACATAGGTCCCGTCTTAGGTTTGATGCAACAATCCTATCCATTCTGGAAGACAAACAATGATTTGTCAGGTGAAAGCGGATAGAACCACCGTTGTTTTGAAGGCACAATAATAAACGAAAGGCTGGTTTGTTTATATCCAGGATGAATGAAACCCTCAAAAGGCGAGGTCTTGTAACATGGCACATGCAGCGATAAGTAAGACTACTGAAAAAAATGCAGTGGGAACCGGACGAAAAGGTGCCCCGAACTACGCGGTAAGCACATTGCAGAGTGCTGGTTAACGGTGAGCCTGAGACGTTGAGGCGATTAGATAACATAAGGACATGACATGTTTGACTGCAAAAGCATCGTCCTAAAACCGTAAAGATTTCTAGATAATCCTGTCTTGTGTGTACATAATTAGCAAGTCCTGTGATACGTAGAGCTTAGAGAATTCCCACTGGAGAATTCAAAAGACAATTTAGCGAGCATACGCTTGTTTTCAATAGATTTTCTTCAGGCCTGTATATTTACATTGCTAAAGAAATAATTAATAAGAAAATTCGGACAAGTAGAAGCTATTCTGTAGCTGGGATTTGGGGAGATTCCGAAGCCTACGTATACATAAATCGGGTCTCCAAATAAAACAAACGAGCTGTTGTAATTAACTGTTTACATACCTCGGTGGACTCTCACAGTTTGACGGAATAGGGGCCAGATAAGCGCCTTAATTAGTGTAAAGCAAAGACTTTTTCGAGTATTGCAAACACTCTGATCACACTGTGATGTCCGGTCAAGCAAAAGGTAAGCGCAAGACGTCAACATGTGCAGTCCGACCTCACCTACAGTAATGAGTGTGGAACAAGACCGAACACTACAGGTTCTGGTGAAACCCTCTTTGGGATCTATCCTTTGAGTGGCATATAAAGACTCACTCTCAAATGCAGCAGACTATGTGTGCCAAAAACTGACTGAGGACATCACAACCTATCCAAGAAAGACGGCTGAAGTGGCCTATGCCTGTTCCCTATCGCTCTCTATATACTTTGCGCAATACAGACTGCTTTTTTGGGAACGAGGAAGGGTGATATAGCTGAAAAGGTGGTTCTTTATTGTCAGCTAAGAATTTTGATCTGTTTTTAGACCCAGTCCTTTTGGTTTTCGTCCCTCCCCCAGAAGAGAACGGAGCTCATGGAGAGGTAGTGTGCAATAACACCAACATCAGCTACGTTACCTCTAACGAAGCCGGATTTGTGGTCCTATACAGGACTCCATGTGGTTTACATACACCTCACTCAAGAATTCACTTACCAAGACACATCTCTTAAGGACTTTGGGACCGCAGCGGCGTAGATGGAGAGGTCGCCATAAAGATAAATGGTTATAGTTGCATAGAACACAGCAGTCCACGTCTTGCCAGCTACTATTGACACGATTTCACCCTAAAAGTCACAAACGTAAACAATGAAATACCAGTTCGAACTTCCGCGAGACTTCGAAATCTTCAGGGAAAACGTCAGATTTTACGTTTTCGTCAAGCTCTTGAGGAGGAGTACTGACTGACGAACTTGTGGACTGCTGATTTGTTTCATTCCCCGTAGCCTGGAAGTCAATTAAAATAACCGGTTTGAAATGAAAATAAACCTTCGTATCGAGCCGCGAAATAGCGTTGAGAATCGACATCGCTTCCACAATAAAAGTCGCAGGAATGAAGCTGAACACATTGGCTTGACAACGGACCACTTACCTCATGATCGAAATGACTAATAAAAGTATCGTTCCCAGAAGCCAGCCAGCGTCGTGAAAGGCTTTAGGGAGAGCAAGCGCCCCCGTTCCGAGAATAAGATTGAAGAGGAAAATAAAGCCCACCTTAACGTACCAAAATAAATAATCTTAATTCATGACTAACCAGGCGCGAGTAGGACGGACCCACAATGTTAGGAGCAGTCATTGCCGGGAATTACAGCCTAAATCAAGAAGGCGGGATAATTAAAAGCCTTCCAAACGGAGACACATAGTAAAAGTGACTTGAGAAAAGTCCAAAAACAGCATACTAAGGTCTGGAAAATCATGTAACCTATGCTTATGCATGAATGCCGTAACAGTTAACTTTACATCTTAGAGAAACCTATTCAGGATGTGCAAATCAGATGATTTTCCAATCGCTCATGGTAAAATTTTCGTAAATACTTTGGGAGAACGTGTACAGACACGAAAGTTCAGCCAGAAACAGGCATTTTTAATATATATAAACTTTGCGATCACAGAACCTTTAAGAATAACGAAGTTAAACTAAGCCTGAGCTACGGTTAGGCACTTTGCATCCAAGTCCGACTTCATAATCACGGCGCAAACGACTGCTTGGCAAACAGAACAGTCGGCTGCTGACAGGGTCACCGCGTAGGCAAGAAATAGATCTAGTTACTTTCCCTTGACGCCAACTCTGAAAAACTGTGCGGAATGGATAAATCGTCTTTAGAATGTGGAGTGCATGCAGACACATGTATATACGTGCACAGGGACCAAATCCCAATAAATGCATCCTAGTCTGTTGAACTTTTTAGTACTTCGACATGAATCAAGACCTTTTCGGTTAATTGCCAAAGTTAACCTATGCATCTTGCTGACGCATGACGGGCTAGGTTCGCACGCGCGAACGCACTAACGATAGAGCGGATATTCAGCTCAATATCTACTAAGTAGTAACAACCGGCAACTAAAATAATCATAATGGAGAATTTACTAAACTGCATCCAAAGATCCGTTGATGCCACTCTGCCACTGAATCCCAGATACGCAACACAAATAATAAAGTCTGACTCGCGGTGCAAAACTGAAAAGACCCCAACGGGAATAGAGGTTACTGGTCGTTTGCTTGGACGCCGTATGGGTCAGTGGAGAAAAACAATTCAGCTAAGGTCACTCGTAGGCGTCATAGTCACAGAAACTGCGTCCTTTGTGTTTTAATTGATGGATAACCTACCTACCATTAGCATGAAGACAGAATCAGGGCTAATCCCAGGAGACAATGTTTCCTTGTCGGCATTCAGGATAATCTTACTATTGCCACTCACCTATCCGACCATCTTGACCTGCGATGCCCACTGTGTGCTCCACAGCAGGATGCGAACAGGGACAGTGACTTAAACCTAATAACTTTAATTGTTATGGCAGACTTGTGTTGTCTCTACCGCAGCCAAGCACTTCTACAGTACAGTACGACCCAGTTTATAAGTCAATTTTGAAGTCGAAAAAACGCACCAGTATATGCACCAACTGCCTCCTCAGTATGCTGCTCCATGAGACCTTAACGAGACGTGTCTAAGCTTTGGATGACAAACACGCTCCAACATCCTTCTCGCTGTTACAAGGCAGTCAAGGCACTAATCTTAACTATGCGCTTAAGCTGATCATGTCCACGCAGTTTTCGACAGATATCACTTCTACAAATTACTTGGAATATCGGTGAGGCCTTAAACTATGCATGCTGCCCCAATCGGGTGACTCTGAAAACTGTTCGATTGCAACTTATTTGCTAGCCGCTAATTACCACATTAGTCGGAGTTCAGAAAACTCTGCTGGATGCGGTTCGTCTGAATAACCAACAGGTTGCGGGATCGGACCCCAGGAGTTCTACACTCCGGATTGGTTATGACTGGCTGAAGACAGCTTATTAGCCGGGAATTGCCATTCCAGTCTTTCTTTTCCTTATCAGCAACGTTTTTGAATAACCTCTATCCATTTCCCCCTAGGAATAGGCACTAAGTGTAGGTTTTATAGAAACTTCCGGTTCACTGCGGGCTTGCTTCCTTCTCCTGTATAATGACTTATCTCATTTACATTACAGCAATCGTCCATGAACTTCACTTTACAACACTTATTCCTTAGTGAAACACGAATGACAGCATTTCTTCTGAAACTGTATGGTGGTTGTATGAGGGAGTTCAGCTGGCGGTATGGTGATTTCTTGGTCTTTGGAAACCTTACAATATGGCATTTAGAGAAATAATTTCGCAGTAAGCTGACTAAATACAAGCATAGTTTATAGGTATTCCTCCTTATAAGACAGTCAAGGATGCTTCAATAGACACCCAAATGCCCTTGTTGGCCGAGTTGCGACTGCGACTTAATTATGAATTCTTTACCGTCCTCAAACATAATAAAGAGAATCCCGTTTTCCAAATGTTGGTAATCTGGAGCTTCGCTCTGTCGTGTATGTATGCTAAATGTGGGCTGGTTTGGGTAAATTTCCATTTCTTATGCAAAAAGTAGCTTATTCGCTACGGCGAGACCGAGGATGTATCTTTGACCAGAGGCTGACTAAACGCGAAGTTTACATTAAAATGTAGGCATGATCGATATCCTAAGTTCACACCTACTAGGCCAGTCACTGAGCGGTCAAAACGTCCAACTGGCAGAGTATAAGCCAGCATTATTTGCAAGTTTCCCTGATTTTGGTCCTTAGGTAAAAATGTGTCCAAAATATAATCATTGATGAGCATCGGTATTGTTGGTATAGTTAGCTTTGAAATTCTTTGATGTTTGGAGCGTTTCCTACCATATTGTGCAAACGACACGGATCTCTTTTAAAAGCTTTGTTGTCCTGCGAGGAAGTATGAGATTGTAAGTCATTTTGTATAGCAGTACTTTTCATCTTTCCAACACTAATCAATTGCCAGCAAAAAATGTGGACTCTCCTTTATGTTAAGAAAACAAACTTGACCTCACTGAGGTGCCCTAATGTTTAACATATTTGTGCGGCCAATGTCATCAGGCAATGCAGTTGCCGTAAATAAGTTAATTTTTGTTTATTTATCTACGACGTAAATTCAAGTGCGGTCTTTCTCCCTCTTGCAGCACAAATACTGTCTGGAATAAGTCGACCGCGAACGAATACATTCGTAAAACCCTTCATACACATATGATACTGAAAAAGCTAAATTCGTTTTCTTTAGTGATCTTTAACCTCTCGCCCTGGTTTCACCTTGAGGGAAGCTTGCTGATTCTGTAGGCGGTTGCCTGGCCCGCAGATTCTTCAATCGACGGCGAGAAATTACCTTTACTTCTGCCCTTTGTCTGATTTATAGCCGCTCTCCTGTGGAAAGAAATGAGGCAAACAACATCTGGCTATTATCGAGACACACAATTCGTACTCTGGACCACGGTCATTTCCTGAGCTGCGGTTTCTTCTCTCGAGTAATCCAGTTTATCCGTATTATCCAAAATCCAAATTGCGTTACACGGTTCTGGCAAAAGGTTTTATACAGCCTGCCCGGTCTACGCTGTGTACACATTTAAATGGTCGCCGTTAACCGGCATTTTATATAATTATTGCTATTAAAAATTCCAAAAGAAACTTTAGTATTCACCCATAAGCTTTCTGTAAGTTCATGACATTATTTTGAGATGTTTAAAGTAACCAAGTGAGGGAAAATTAAGATAATTAAACTAGGAGAATCCTTAGCTGTCGGGGATATAAATGCCTCTAGACTAGTCGTACAAACTATTTGTCCCAGACCGACTGTTAATTCGCGTCGATAAATAACTAAATAAAAAACGAAATAATTTTTACTAAAGAGCCGCTGGAGTCCCATCAAAGCAAGTAAAAATAAATTTACATACGAATTTTAGACGAGGTAGGCAGAATCTTTACAAAATGCAATACATGGTTTCCGAATTTGTAGTCCGTTAAGAAAAATGATGAGCGAGCGGTAAAAAAAACTACTTAAAAATTTAAAAATGATAAAATTAATTTTACAGGAAAAAAACCCTCGCTCATAATAACACAAAAATGCGGTCAGGACTGGTTTGCATGTGAAAAAAGGTATTTCATATCTAATTATTAAACAGGCATCTGACCTTTCCATATTACCCAGTCATTAATTCTCGGCTTATATTCCGAACGGACTTCCCAGAAATATGGAAGACGTCAATCACCATTTCTGTCTTCAAACCCGAATCTCGATCCGGTGTTAATATCTATCGGGACATTCACAGAACCCCGTCCCTAACATCTTCTTGAAAGGGGGATTTTTAGTGAAATTTTGATTTCTGTCTGGCTAGTCATTTTTGGGCTCTAATCAGCATGAATGTTAGCCCGGAAGATCATGTGAAGCTTGCCACTTAGCCTTCCTTAATTTAACCACTTTTCTTCGTAATAAACGGAAGCAATTGGTGGTTATCTGCTTTGATCTTGGCGAACACATCGACAAGGTGATACATAGACGTCTTTCGGTAAAATCGGAAGCACTCGACATCAGGGCTCCCTTACTCGACTTCATCGAACCCAACTATCCAACCGCTGTCAGAAAGTCATGGTTGGTAAAACCTACTTGACACCTCACTCGATCACTAGCGGCGTATATCAAGGCACGGTTCTGGACCCACTACGCCTCCTCCGACTAAAATCAGAAATTCACAAACGTTTATTCATGTCGATGTCCTCAAGTGTAATTATTTATATTCAAGGTGCATCGCAAATGTCTGCGTTGAAAAACGTTAATGCCGACTTACGAGGCTCATGAAAATGGAGTTCAACATGGCAGATTGTATTTTCGTCGCCTAAGTGAAGTTTCCTGTCTTTTGGTCCTGCCAAGTTTTCAGGCCCCATAATTTTTCAGAATAGCCTACTCCCAGAATGCTTCATCACAAAGGACCCAAGTTTCATTTATACAAATGAGCTTTCTTCAGCACCTCATGCAGAATCTCTGCTAAAGCTGCGCAGGTATGTGGGTTCATATCACGTAATCTTTCCTTCCGGAAATGAAGCTGAGTGTTTATTAAATGTTTGTTCTTCCCGTCCTCGAATATGCCCGTCTTTTCTTCGGTAAAATGAACGCCTGTGACCGCACCAAAATCAAAAATATTCAGAGAGTTTTTACTTGAAAACTTTCTTAAGCTGCATCGGTTTTCGTTATTCCGACAGATGTCAATTGATAAACGATAAATTTT